TGCGCATGCAAGAGTTATTTTTTTTTTAGCTGGATAGATCGAAATGGGACACTTTGTGTTCCTGTTTTTATTACTTTCGAAAGAGCGAAAATATCGCGTTACTTTACTTTAAGAGGAAGACAAAAAAATCTGTATGTGAAATACGTGATAAAATGCAAATTTTTTACAGGGAATTAACACGCGATCGGCTAATTCCAAGGTAGATAAAAGCGAATTTTATTCGAAGAAAAACTAAAAACGCGGGAGAATGCGTGGAAAATTCATTATCAGTAGCATAAATTTTATGTGAACTTTTACCAGTGGTATTGGATAATGCGGTTAGAATGCGTGATAAAATCCAGGTTGTTCACAAGGAATTGGCATGTGATGAGCGAAGTCTAATTTGGCAAAGTGGAATTTAATCGGTAGAATACAGTTCAAGCACGTGATAAATTGCTTAATGTTCATGTGGTGAAATGATTGGGTATGTTCTGATTGCATTTTGGACGTTGTTTTCATAGTACGTGATGGAATGTAAGTTGTTTGGCACGTGCGTTGTGAGAAAAGAAGCGGAAAAAACATATTTTAACTTGAAAATTATACAATGAAATGAACGCGAACCTTTCATTCGATTTCATATCCCGATAAATACCGACCTAACTCGACGAGGCTCCTGCAAAGGCCAAAATCATAACACTAATAAAATGAGCCCAAGATTTCTGGTTAACATCATTCTTTGTGCACAGCCCCCAGATTCCATTACATCCGATTTACAAGAAAACAATACCCAAACGCTTTGATTGGTGCATGATGTCCAAATGCTGATGTGATTGGTGTGAGATACATACCCTAATGCGAAAATATGATTGGTGCAAGATACATACCCTAATGCAACGATCTGATTGGTGCGAGCAACATAATACTCTACACGCTAACATAGAGCTATTTTTTTTTTTTTTTTAAATATGACTCAAAACCGTTTAATAGGCAATGAACAGAAGCGCTTTAGTTTTTCTTCCTAATCAGTCATTAAAATTGTTGGCATCCATCAGCTCACGGTTTTGGTCTTTTATGGTTGTGATAGTCTAGTAGAGTGTTTTTTGAAAATGCCGGAAAGTCAAACTCTATGAAAAAGCCACAACTGATTAGATGTGGGTGATAATTGTTGGAACACAAACGCAATAGTTTAATACCGTATTTGCTTAAAATTATTTGCTTTTTTTTTACAGATTGCTTATGAAGTTCGCCAATGCCGGTTCCGAGGAAACGACGCCAGAAAAATCGAACATGAACACAAAAAAAAAACTAAAAAGGAAATTATTATCACTAGTGCTAAAAAATAAATACATACATGCATACTTACATACATACATAGAGGGGGGTAATTTCTGGAAAAAGTTTAAATCGTTAATCGGTGGAGTAAAATAGCGTGAGTATGAAGTACAAGTGAGTGATATGCTTTTACTCCTGTCAATACGGATAGATTTCCATGGCCCGTTGGTGGCCGTCATTAACGGGGTTCCACCGTAGTCTCTTGCAATTGTTGTTGTTGTTGTTTTTTTGTCATAACGCAACTCTTCTTCTTGATGGATAGACAAGGAGGAAAAGCCCTGTCTAGTCATCAAAATTTTTCTGTGGAGTATGACAACGCAAGTGTCAAGTAAAAGCGAGTGACCCACGCATCGCACTCGCTATAAAACTGCGGTTAGGCCTTTTTTTCGCGCTCCTTATTCTCTTTGATACGGGGGCGCGCAAAACCACAAAGACAAAGACAAAGATTACATGAAACTAAAATTTCACTTGACCACAGGTTAGCTGGCTTTCTGAGCACCGCTTTTTATAACCTTCGATCAGGCGTTATTTTGTTTTCAGTCCGCAACCGCAAGCCTTGCTCACTCGAAAACCGCCTGATCGCAAGTTACGCTTTTTAAACCGCTTATTCTTCATGATACTATTACTATATTTTTCTACTTTCTATTTTATGATACTAATTTCTATAATTCTGATAACATTTTGACCAACGGGAGTCTATCAGTCCATATTGAGATAAATAATATATTTCGCTGCAAACGAATTCGCTACACACTTAGATAAGAGCGTGGCTATTGTTAATTATTGCTATTGTTCACTTTATCCCACCTAAGGATTTACTTTATGCGTCCAACCGTTTGATTGACAACAGTTGAAATCTGAATCTGACCTAGGTATTCCCAAAGTTTAATCTGCTGACCAATCACAGCCGACTAGTTCAAGATATGCAAATTATTGTACCGCCCGCGGATTAATGGGCACTGCAAGTACATTTCGCGAAGGACAATAGAATTCTGAGCGATGGACTTGTTCAGCGGCAAATAGGTGAGTGGTTATAGAAAGATTCCTGGTCGGAGCATCACTGCAAGTTTTGGAAGAGTGTTCCTTTACTTAGGCGCAGCGAGAAAACAAAGAAGACCTTTGGACACAAAAAATCACGGAAAATAACCGAAGTATTTCTTCTTACTCCATATTTTACCTTCAGTCTTTTGATTGGTCAGCGGTAACCTGCCGCGACTTCACCCCTGCGATAATCTACCCTCTTCGTTCTCCGTCCTCCTTTCGCACAACAATTTGAACTACGCCCATGATCTGTAAAGGCGTTCCTGAAAGAGAAACAAACGCTTCAGCTTAATTCTAACCCTAGGCTGAACGTTCCTGCTGACGGAACAGTCCGACCAACTAGTTCTAACAAATTCAAAGTGGCGTTAGAAGTGGCCTTACGTGTTTCAAAAATAGTTTAGTTGTTCTCCAGTTCTCTTTTTCTGCGTCGCAACAAGCCAAAAATCATTTTTAGCTAAGCCACCCGTGTGGACAGCGATCGAAAATGTAAATTTCACAGATTTTTCCCAACGCGCAGAGACTGCAATAATGTAGCTCACAGAATTCTACCTTGCTACAAGTTACAAGATGTATTCAGTTGTTTCACAGACAAAATATGAAAACTTCACCAGAGGAGAACCTTCTCTTCGACCTTAATTAGCATATCAAAAATTCACCAATTTGTACGAAAGAATTCTTAAAATGCAGGCGTTTGTCGGGCTAAAAAAATTATATCGGTGCATAGTTTATACACTAATGAGGTCACCGGTGGGTTTCTCTCTAGCTTTCATCCACTAACATCTTAGAAACAACGCAAGTTTGCTTAATTGCGCTTGTGTCAAAAATTATTTGCATAATTCACAAAATTGACCGAGGCCTCCTTTGACCATTCAAAATTCGTTTTTATATCTTCTACGTTGAGGATTTTGGGTTTTCATAGCAACTGAATGGAGAAAAAATGCCGAGTTGTCCTAAAACGTTGCGTAAATGTGATCGGTTTTAACGCTTGCACGCCTGCGTGACTTACAAAGTAAACAAAGCTGATCGGAAGGCGCCTTCTCGATAATTTTCGTTGAAGTATCAGCTCATGAAATACTCGCAGTGTGGAGAAGATCAAATTTAGAAAATAAAATTTGGCACTCTGGTCATTACAGACATATCACGTCGCTAAAAAGGACACACAAACAAGTTAAAATACATTACAGTGTTATTTACAAAACAACGCGCATACGCTCTGAAAGAATTCTTTCAGTTTCAAACAGAATTATTCAAACATTTATAGTGTTTGACGAAGCATTTTTTTCATATCATTCCAGGAATACTAAACCTTTATCAAATACAGCTCTCTGGACGTTTATATGAAATACATACATACATTTTTTTCTACAATAGCTGTAGCTGTTCCCGGGCGCTTCTTGGCCATTGTCAATAAGGTAAAAGCTCACAAAAATGACCAACACGTAATCTATATCGCAACGAAATCCTCACCGTTTCGTAGAAAAAAATTCTCGCAAATTTTTTAAATATGTACCGTGACGACTTTCTGAACTTTAGATCAGTAAACTTGGATACATTTTTAAAGAAGAGCTTGTCGAGGTAGAAGAAAAATTGGAAGAAAACATCTTCAGAAAAAGAAAGCCATTTCTCAGTTCGCGACGTTTAAAGAAGATAATTGCCAATGCGATAAAAACAATTCAGGGTAACGGAATCTATAAACAACAATTTCTTACTGGTATTTCAATGCAGAAGTTATTACACAACACAAATCAAAACGACAACGGCAGCTCAAACAACGAAGCAATAATCGATCAAATTGGACGCATGTGATTTTCCGAAAAATTTGGCATATTAAACTGGCGTAAAATAGACAGTGTTATTGATGTAAATAAATCGACTATAATTTTCCATTTAAGACAGGAGTTAAGGCTGTCACAAGGTTGGATATAGATAACTAAACCGCCCTAACGTATCACTTACACGAAGCACCAGGTTACCCTATGCTGCGCCTCGTGATTTCATTTTAGCTTTGAACATTTTGACGTCATTTATATCATCAATAAGGTTCTAGAAAAACGAAAACTGTGGTGGATTTCTTAAATATATAAACATACAATAAACCAAACATTTTCTCGGTTTACAGGGTAATTAATCACGCGAAACATTTTTTCCCAAGTGGTTTTTATTAGCCGATAAACCGATAGAAAATGTGGTTCATTGCTTTTATGCCGATAAATATGAGTGAAGTTTGTCAAAAAGAATGATAAAATTATTATTATTTTGTGATGAAGTCACTGATTTACGATTTAAGAATGACGTGGAAATTTTACTCCGGGTTGTAAATAAAGTTTTTCACAGTCAGAATTTTGCTCTTGGATACCGGAACGTTTAGGTGGTCGAAGAGTTCACGTGGTTCACTTCCCAGGCGGGTTTGAGCAGGGCCAGCGTGACAACTAGGGCTGGGTTTTTGGGGCTGGTAACTTAACAAATGTATGAGGTTTTTTCTTCACTTAATATTCAATAAGGTATGGTGGAGTCAACTGTTGATATTCAAATAGAACTACTGCCTCATCAAAACAGATTACGAGTCAAGGCTGTCACAAGGTTAGATTTAGAAAACTAAACTGCCCTAACATGCTATTTACAAAAGGCACCAGGTCACCCTATGGTCACGAGCGGTCTGATGTATTCTCACCAGTTCAAATAATATCCCAGAAAAACGTATTTATTACGGCAGTTGGCAGCAGAAGTGTTGAAGAGTGAGTCACTTTAAGACGATTTTCCTTTACGAAGCGTGTCACCAAGAAAGTGAGCTATTTTATTATTATTATCAGTTTTCGCCACATAATTTATGTTACGTTGACCAGTTGTTCATTCACTTTTTTGCTATATGTACGTGTATTTAAATGTAACGATTAAAAGTTATTTAACGCTTTCGAAACTTCGATCTTCAAAAAAGACTCACAGCTTTTGAGATCACGCGTGGTCACGCGGGCATTCAGTAAAGTGCTTTGGAAAATGAAAAAAGTTCGATTTATCTTCGTAGCGTCTGGTTTGTAAGCCTCACCATAGCCAACTGATAGGGGCACTTCCCTTTAGCAAATACCTTACCAGTAAGCTCGTTTTGATATAAAAGACCATTTTTTCCTTGTTTGAATGCGATTAAATTGAATTTTGTTCAAGTTAAAAATGTTTTATTGATTCTGCAGATGAAGTGGTCCGTCATCTCGTCACCAGCGCTACTGATCCTGTATTTGGTGACATTCTCTTCTGCTGAGGAGTTAAAAAGGAAGACACCAGTCCACCTGAAGATTCAATTTACCTCGATTTTAGTATGTTGCATTTTCGAATTCCTCTTTTTTTGTACGACACTTGTCTTCTCTACTGGAATATTGTCGCATTTTTTACAGACATGATTTAGCGTATCTGTCTAATGTAAATGTTCTTTACAGACCAGGTTTTGAAGCTGACGGCTGTTGTTGTCCTTGTATTCATTCGTTTGTTTTTTCTGGGAAAGGATCAGAAGATCGAACTTGCGTGTTTTTTGTTATTTATGGGAGCAACCGATCTTTTGAGAGTTTTCATAATTGCACAAGCCATAGGCGGGTGAAATGTGAGACCTTTAAAAGCACCACGAGTGACCTCATATCATAGGACACAAGAGCTGCTCGTGGGATTTTTATGATTATTATCTTAAAAACGACTACCTGTACCTTTACACTACATTGTACGTCCTCGGGGGAAAATTACGTGAAGAATTTTCCAACCGGCTGAAAACTTGTTTCTTTGAATTTTCTTTGAAATGTGAAACCTATAAAACCATCACGAGTGACCACATGTCATAAGACTCAAGAGCAGCTCGTGCGATTCATTTAATTATAATCTTAACAAAAAAGAATGCGTATCGACACTACTTTGCACTTCCTCGGGTGAAAATTACGTGAAGAATTTTCCAACCGGCTGAAAACTTGTTTCTTTGAATTGGTCATATAATAGAATGATACGCGACCTTGCTAATACTGAGCTCAAAATGAACGCTGGAATTGGCCAACCCTGTACCGGGTCTCTCAAGGCGTTTGTTGTTTCGCGCGGCCTCGATCCTTGTTCTTGTTGTCTGAGATGCAAAGTCAAAAAAGCTTCGTAAATTCTTTAAAGTTGTATGTTTGCAAACCTTTTCTTTTCATGATGGGCAGAGGAGATCATCGATCTGTATAGGAATGCGAAAATGACCTTAGACATCGGTACAAGGCACAAAATTTTAACGAAAACCTGTTATTTCCAATTCGTGGGTTCGTGGCGCAGAAGTCCGTAATAAGTTGTTACGCCATAATTCCGTTCCATCCCGTTCAAAGTAGACCTTAAAGAGCTCAAATGAGAATTATATATTCCGAAGAATAATCAATTCTGAAAATAATGGAAATTTAAGACGTGAAATTGACGAAATTAGCTCTGCGGTAACAAATAATGCGATTCTCGAAAGCGCCAAGGACTATGGCTGGAATATAAAAACAGCGCCTACCGACTCTAACTGAGGTTTTGCGACATTAGGGCTACTATTTGAACCGGTAAATATTATTTTGATTATTGAAAAGTATATTTAAAGTATTGTTCAATCATGGATTTTGTCTCTAAACGATTCTAGAATTTTTAAAGTAACGCTACGCGATTTGTGATCGTGAAGTTATCTAAACAACGATTCCATCATGGTGAATCTATCGCTTAGATCCTGTAAAAGCAAGAAATTCGTTCGTTTTTTGCCTGTGAACTGTCAATTTTAGCACTCTTTAAAATAAAGGAATATTTCTAGGTCGTTTATCTGTACATATAATTAATAGCTTCAGGTACGCGATCATCTCGTAAACCCGGCAAATTTGGATATTGAATTGAGAGCGAGTTGTGACTTTAGTGGTAAATAGAGAATATTACATGAGCGCACGTAGATATAGAATTTCTCCTTCAGTGTTCAACTCGATAGCTCACCATGTATTATTTTGTTTATCGCATAAAAACTGTGGCTTTACTGACAAGAAAAGTCGACTTTACTAATGAATGAAAATAAAAGAATCGACAATACCCTGATGAAAATCGTAAAGCGCGTTAGCGCACTCAAGATGAAAACATGCGTTGAATCACTGCAAAAACAAAAGTGGTCGTAATATTCAATATAAAAAATTCTCAATTACTGACTTTGTCCTTACCGACAAGAGAAATCTGTCAGGTACAGGGCCAAAACGGGCCTGTGACAAAACTTCCGGCTGTCGATTCTTGTTCTCTGCGGCGAGAAATGCAATTAACCAAAGCCACTGAATGTGTAACTTTCGATTTGTCTTTTCGTATTTTGGTTTTCTTCACCTTCTAGAGATGTTGAAACGTCACTGTCTGTAAGAGATACGGATTTTGCAGTGTTTTAGCAGCCACAATACCAGAAAATTCCGACTAACGACCATGGATTTAGTGACTTTGCCGTCTAGTCATCCACCTGACCGAATGGCACGAAAGGCAAGTGACGTGTCAGCAGCTGGTTGGCGAAATCACTTACACGTGAAAAAGTACTGGTTTTTTTCACGTATATTGTTACGGCTGTTCTCAGGACTGGAAATCCTTGTATAACACCGTAGTTTATATGATATGTATTTCTGACGGAAACCAAAGAAGTAAAGCAGTCATTAAAAATCATGCAAAGAAGAGAAAAACAGGCCGGACTGTGTATCAAGAAAATGCTGATACAACTGTGATGGAAGCAGAAAATGTCATGAACGTAACGTTTTATTGTGAAATTTAAAAAGAAAACAAAGGTTTTCTTTAAATTTACGTAAGTTACAGGATATCTTGGTTTGTTACATATGCTCCTCGCCCCATCATGGAGCGAAAGACGGTCTGCTAACGGAAACTTTTTAAATCATTTGAGAATCTTTTCGAGACTATACACAACGAAAAAGATACGAAACGGGATGGAACAGAAAGCGTAACAACCTATTACGGACTTTTGCACGAACCCACGAATTGGAAATAAAAGGTTTTCGTTAAAATTTTTTACATTTCGTAATGACTACGGTCATTTTCACATTCCAACATAAATCAATGTACACGGTTGGCCAATCCCAGCATTCATTCTAACCTCAGTATTGGTAATTAGAAAGTCGCGTATTGTGTAATGTTTTTAAGAGTCAAGCATTATTTTGTCTTCCATAAAGGCCTCGATTTGAAGGAACACCGTATGGCACTCGAATTGGGAGGAACACCGTATGGCACTCTTTGTTTAATTTACATGTAGACATTTTTTATTAATTATTGGTAAAGAGGATATATTCAGTAGTCCAATCGATCGACGAAATAATCAACACTTTCATTTATTTTGCAGGACACTCCACCATTTGATTGTGCATCACATAGATTATGCCCTGATAATTTGGAATGCAGTATATTTGACACGTGTTGTCAAAGGTGGCCTCCTTGGAGGTATTCATGTTGTCCTCTACCAAATGCTGTTTGTTGCTATGACCTAAAACATTGCTGTCCGGAAGGATACATTTGTTCTCCTATTGTAAAAGGGTGTATACCTGAGCACAAATCTCAGTTATAAAATATAAGCTGGAAATAAAAAAGGAATGCTCAAAAAAAAACTATTGGAGTACTTTGATGTAAATGACGTTATGGTCATGAGATTCTTGAAGTAAACACAATAAAACCACAAACGATAGCACAAAATATCTTATTTATTTTGTTCAAAATCTAGGTTCTCTTAAAAGCACTCAGTTCCACAAATGTATATTTGATAACCCCAAAGCAAGCTGTCTGTAATGCATATAGCCACATGATTCCAAAGTTATAGGAAAAATTTCAATTGCAGAACTAAATATTCGGCCACAGTTTGAAACGGGCTCAGATCTTGGCAAGCCTTAGGCTGACTCGTGCTAGTTCCCAGCGTTTTAAATTTCCATTGTGATGCAAGATCTGCAGAATTGAAACACATGAGAAAATGCAAGATTTGTCGTCGCTGATTGAAATAATTCTGCACACGTCTTTCAGATTGACGCAAATGGCATTGTTATTACGTGAAAAAACAATCGCTGTCAACAAACTTACAAAAAACTGAGGAAAAGATAGGGGTAATATTTCCAAGCCTTTCTACCTACATCGTGTCGATTTTTCTGAATTAAAGTATATAGGAAATTAAGAGATCCTCGCAGCTAAGAACACTACTGAAACGAGTAGTTGTAAGTAGGACCTGAAAGTATATATGTTGTGCTTCACGTACAAAAAGTTCAGAAAAATTGTATGGAGCCAGCTCTGAGCTAAACGGACCTAACGAATTAGCGTCGTGTATACTACTGTAAAAAAAGAAAAAGAAAAACTAGTAGTAATTCCCTAATTTTAATTTATCACTGATATAGTAACTGGTTTAGCAAACAACAGCTTGGAACGTATCGAAAATTTGTATCATTTCGCAGCTGATAAATCAGAAATAAACTTTGTGGCAAAGCAATTTTACAAAAGCTAACTGGTTGAAAATTACCCAGCGGTGGGACCTTACTCCAAAATAAAGGAAATCCTGAAAGAGCGAAAAACAACGTATCAAGGATTTTTCGAGACCGTCCTCAAAAACTGTACCGTGGGATTTCCCAATAGCATTGCCAGCGATTGCTAAGCCACGCCACACCCACTATTTCAAATTTCTATCCGTTCCTAATAACATGTGTCAAAATCGAACGACTGCAAAGGAGGGGAGTTGGTTTTTGAGCGCTCTAGTGTTGCCGGTTAGTGCTTAGGAAAACTATTTCCATCAACCTCAAATTTGGTTGAGGTAGATATATTTAGAGACTGCACAAGCTAAGTGGTAATTTCCTCTTAAAAACAAAATATCGAGATTAGCGCCATAATATGTATCGCCAAGTAGGAAAGTACATGTTAGCAGGAGATTGGGTTTATATCAGCTGTAATGATCAATTTGATCAGAATATCACTCCAGCTTATTTTGCCCAATTACGAGGTCAGATTACGGTCTCAGTTCAGTTGTAGTTCGAAGAACTGACTAAGTGCGGAACTGGGCTCGGCATGTAATTTCTTCCGTCACCCATGCCTTCCAAAGATCGTCTGCTCGGTCAACTAAGTGTCTCAATGGGGTGATAACTTTTAAAATTTTGGCCAGATTACGGCTAACGGTTAATATCTTTTTTTCTACAACTAACGGTTAATAATTGTCAATTTTTACGCCTAGGACACATGTTTCAAAAATAGCTTAATTGTACTCCAAGTCTCTTTTTCTGCGTCGCCACAAGCCAAAAATCACCCGTGCGGACAGAGATCGAAAATGTAAATGTCACAGATTTTGTCCAGCGCGCAGCGACTGCAATAATATAGCTCACGGAATTCTGTCTTGCTGTGAGTTACAAGATGTACTCAGTTAGTCCACACTCAAACATGGAAACTTCACCTGAAATATTTTTCATACCAGCGTGATCAGAGGAGACCCTTCTCTTCGACCCTAATTTGCACATCAAAAATTCACCAATCTGTACGAAAGAATTCTCAAAATGCAAGCGTTAATCGGGCTAAAAGAGTATATCACTGCATAGATTATTCACCAATGAGGTCACCGATTGCCTCAGACCCGCGGGTTTATATCTAGCTTTCATCCCACCATCATCCTAAAAACAACGCAAGTCTATCAGTGTTTTGCTCAATTGTGCTCGTGTCAAACATTATTTGCATAATTATGAAAATTGACTAAGATCTCCTTTTGACCGTTCAAACTACGTTGAGGATTTTAGATTTTCATAACAACTGAATAGAGAAAAGATGCCGAGTTGTATTTAAACGTTGCGTAAACGTGATCGGTCGTAACGCTTGCGCGCCTGCGTGACTTACAAAGTAGAGAGAGGTGATCGGAAGGCGCCTTCTCGATAATTTTCGTTGAAGTATCAGGTCATGAAATACGCACAGTGTGGAGAAAATCAAATTTAGAGAATAAAATTTGGCACTCTGGTCATCACAGACATATCGCGTCGCTTAAAAGGACACACAAACAACTTAACATACGTTACAGTGTTATTTACAAAACAACACGCATATACTCTGAAAGAATTCTTGTAATTTCTCCCGAGATTTAGCACACGGAACGCAATGAACAAGTCCATCCTTTCTGCAAATTTGTTCCCATCATTAATGATTTACGTTGTTATGGACCAAAACATTTTTGAGTGACAAACTTAACATTTCCCGATCATCAAAAACTCAGCTAGATTGCGTGACATGTAATGCTAATTTTTCCCTGTCATAAATTTTATGTATTTTCCAAAAAACAAAAAAACATATATATATATATATGTTATTATCAATATATATATATATATATATATATATATATATATATATATATATATATATATATATATATATACATATATATATATATATAATTTCAAAAATTGTTAAACTATATCAAATACTCTGGACGTTTATATGTAATACATACATGCATTTTTTTCTAAATAGCTAAAGATGTTCTCGGGCGCTTCTTGGCTGTTGTTGATAAGGTTAAAGCTCACAAAAATGACCAAAACGTAATCTATTTCGCAACACTCAGCAATCCTCTCCATTTCGCGAAAAAAATCCTCGCAAATATGGACCGTGGCGACTTTTCGAATTTTAGATCAGTAAACTTGGATACATTTTTAAAGAAGAGCTTGTCGAGGTGGAAGAAGAAGAAAAAGAAGTCAGCTCTCGGTTCGCAACGTTCAAAGAAGATAATTGCTGATACGATAGAAAAAATTCAGGGAGATAGAATCCATAAACAACTATTTGTTACTGATATTTCAATGCAGAAGTCATTACACAACACAAATCAAAACGACAACGGAAGCTCAAACAACGATGCAATGATCGATCACATTGGGCGCATGTGATTTTCCGAAAATTTTGGCGCATTAAACTGGCGTAAAATAGACAGTGTTATTGACGTAAACAAATCGACAATAACTTTCCATTTAAGGCAGGAGTTGAGGCTGTCACAAGGTTAGATATCGATAACTTAACCGCCCTAACGTGTTACTTATACGAGGCACCAGGTTACCTTATGCTGCGCCTCGTGATTTTATTTTAATTATGGACCTTGTTGACGTCATTCATATCATCAACAAGATTATAGAAAAACGAAAACTGTGGTGGATAAGTCAAATAAATAAACATACAATAAACCACACATTTTCTCGCTTTACAGGGAAATTAATGAGCACGCGAAAGCGCTTCTTGCCAAGTGGTTTTAATTGGCCGTTAAACCAATAGAAAGTGTGGTTCATTGCTTTTATAACATTAAACTATTCTTATTTTGTGATGAAGTCGCTGATTTACGATTTCAGAATGACATAAAGATTTTATCTAAAGCTGTGAGTAAAGTTTTACGCGTTCAAAATGTTGCTCTTGGATGCCGAAACTTTTAGGTGGTTGAAAAGCACACTTGGTTCACTTCCTAGGGGTTTGAGCAGTAGCGTGACAACTGGGGCTGGGTCTTTGGATCTGGAAATTCAACAAATGTGTAAGGTTTTTCCTTCTCTTGTCGATATTCAATGCAAACAGAACTCCTGTTTACAGAACTACAGATTACAAGTTAAGGCAGTCACAAGGCTAGACTTAGAAAACTAAACTGCCCTAACGCGCTACTTACACAAGGCACCAGGTCACCCTACGGTCACGAGCAGTCTGTGGTGTTCTCACCAGTTCAGATTATATCCCAGAAAAACGTATTTATTACGGCAGTTGGCAACAGCAGTGTTGAAGAGTGAGTCACTTTACGACGATTTTCCTCTTCGAAGCGTGTAACCAAGAAAGTGAGCTATTTTCTTATTATTATCAGTTTTCGTTACATAATTTGTGTTACTTTGACCAGTTGTTCATTCACTTTTTTGCTACATGTAATCCGCTGTTAATAAGAGTAACGATTAGAAGTTAGTTAACGCTTTTGAAACTTCGATCTTAGAAAAACAACCACAGTACTTGATATCGTGGTTATGCAGGCATTCAGTAAAGTGCTTTGGAAAATAAAGAAAGTCCGATTTATCCTCATAGCGTTTGGATTTTTAACCATCACCATAGCCAACTGATGGCGACACTCCCCCCTAACAAATATCCTGCATGTAATCTCTTTGAGATTACGAGCAGGAAAAGAGGAGGAAAAGAGCATTTTTACCTTGTTTGAATGAGATTAAATTGGATTTTGTTTAAGTTAAAAACGTTTTATTGATTCTGCAGATGAAGTGCTCCGTCATCTCATCGCCAGCGCTATTGATCCTGTATTTGGTGACATTCTCATCTGCTGCAGAGTTAAAAAGGAAGACACCAGTCGACCTGACGGTTCCATTTACCTCGACTATAGTATGTTGCATTTTCGAATTCCCCCCTTTTTGTACGACACTAGTCCTTTTTAAAATTGTCCCATTTGTACACACATTATTTAGCGAAATTGTATAATGTAAATGTTCTTCACATACCAGCTTTTGACGGTTGTTATTGTTCTTGTTTGTCTGCTTGTTTTTAATTTTTATTTATTCAAAAGATTTAACGTACGTGTTTTTTGTTATTTATGGAAACAAGTGATGTTTTGAGAGTTTTCATAATTGCACAAGCCATAGGCGAGTGAAATGTGAAACCTATAAAACCATCACGAGTGACCACATGTCGTAAGACTCAAGAGCAGCTCGTGCGATTCATTTAATTATAATCTTAACAAAAAAAAAACTGCGTATCGACACTACTTTGCACTTCCTCGGTGAAAATTACGTGAAGAATTTTCCAACCGGCTGAAAACTGTGACCTGACCTAGTGGATGGGTCATATTATGGAATAGTACGCGACTTAGCTAATACTGAGCTCAAAATGAACGCTGGGATTGGCCAACCCTGTACCAGGTCCCTCAAAGGGCATGTTGTTTCGCACGGCCTCGATCTTTGTTCTTGTTGTGTGAGATGCAGAGGCAAAAAAGCTTCGCAAATTCTTTAAACTTGAATGTTTGTAAACCTTCTTCCTTCCATGATGAGCTGAGGAAATCATTGATCTGTGTGAGAATGTGAAAATGACTGTAGACATCTGTAATGGGTCTTGTAAATGCAAGAAATTCGTTCGTTTTTTGCTTCTGAACTGTCGATCTTAGCACTATTTTGAATAGACGGATATTTCTAGGTCATTTTTTTTCGCATATAATTGATAGCTTCTGGTACAATGCGATTGTCTCGTAACCCCGAAAAATTTACATATTGACTTTGAGCATGGTTAGCGATTTGTGCCTTAAATAGAGAATATTACATAGGCGCGCGTGGAATGGAATTTCTCTATGAGTGTTCAACTCGATAGTTCACATGTAGCTGCAGTAAACGAGTGAGATTTCAAGATGAACACTCAAAGAGAAACTCCATATCTACAAGCAACCACTTATTATTTTGTTTATCATATAAACACGGTGGCCCTTTACTGACAAGAAAAGTCGACTTTACTAATGATTGAAAATAAAAGGATCGACAATACCCGAATGAAAATTGTAAAGTGCGTATGCACTCAAGATGAAAACAAGGGTTGAATCACTAGAAAAACAGAAATGGTCGTAATCTTCAAAATTCTCAGTTATTGACTTTTTCCTTACCAACAAGAGAAATCTTTCAGGTTCACGGCCAAAATGGGCCTATGGCAAAACTTCCAGCTTTCGATTTTCGTTCTCAGCGGCGAGAAATGCCCATTAACCAAAGCCATTGAATACGTAACTTTTGATTTGTCTCTTTGTATTTTGGTTTTCTTCCCCTTCTAGAGCTGTTGAAACGTATCTGTCTGTAAGAGATATGGATTTTTCAGTGTTTTAGCAGCCATGAATTCTGACTAACGACCTTGAATTGAGAATCGTAACTTTGCCGTTCGTTCATCAACCTGACAGAGTGGCGCGAAAGGCTAATGACGTGTCTGTACCTGATTGGCGAAAAAAAATACACGTGGAAAAATTCTCGTATTACAGCTGTAATGAAAGCAGAAAATGTCGTGAACATAACGTTTTTAAGTGAAATTAAAAAACAAAGGTTTTCTTTAAATTTACGTAAGTTACAGGATATCTTGGTTTGTCACATGTTCTCTTTGTCCTATCATGGAGCGAAAGAGGGTCTGCCAACGGAAACTTTTTAAATCATTTGAGAATCTTCCAAGACTCCGTGTACAACGAAAAAGATAAAGGCCGCGCGAAACGGGATGGAACGGAAAGTGTAACAACCTATTACGGACGTATGTACGAACCCACGAATTGGAAATAAAAGCTTTTCGTTAAATGTTGTACCTTTCGGGATGTCTACGGTCATTTTCACTTTCCAACACAAGACAGTGATTTCCTTGGCCCATCAAGGAAAGAAAATAATTTGTCAACATACAATTTCCAAAGAATCTGCGAGGCTTTTTCGGCTCTGCATCTCACGCAAAAACAACAAAGATCAAGGTCGCGCGAAACGACATGCCCTTAAGGGACCTGGTACACGGTTGGCCAATCCCAGCATTCATTCTAACCTTAGTATGGGTAAAGTCACGTATTGTGTAATGTTCTTAAAAAAAAGGAGAATAAAGGCCTCAATTGGGTGCCGGAGGAACACCGTATGGCACTCTTTATTTAATTTACATTCTTTATTAACTATTCATAAAGTGGGTACTTTGTCGAGGATATGTTAAGTGATCCAATCGATCAGTGAAATGATCGACACGTTCATTTATATTGCAGGACACACCATCATTAAATCGTACAACATGTAGAGTATGCCCTGATGGAGTGATGTGCAGAATGTTTGACACGTGTTGTCCATGGATGAGTCCTTGGGAGTATTCATGTTGTCCTCTACCAAATGCTGTTTGTTGCCCTGACCTTGAAAATTGTTGTCCGGCAGGATACATTTGTTCTCTTGCTTATGGAGGGTGTATATCTGAGCACAAATTTCATTAATGTCATTGACTAAATACGATGTTTCGGCACTTATTATCGGGTGATAATTTGACTGAATACAAAGCCAATCCCTCTTTACCTTGACAATCAGTCGGGTAAATTTATAAGGCGTTGAAAATATTAAAAGCTGGAAATAAAGAAGGAATACATAAAAAAACATAAGCATTCTATGCATGCAAGAGTTATTTTTTGGGGTGGGTGGATTACTTGAAACATTTCAAGTGATGTCTATATATTCTTTTACAAAAGGAAAAAAGAGTATTAACGCAGAAAAGAACGAAAATGTCGAATTAACTTACACACAGGTATTTTGTGGTAGATTGTGTGTGTTGTTCGGGTTACTGTAACCAAAAATAAACTGTATTGGTGGCACGGATTCCTGTTAGTACAAAATACAGACTGCAGACTGCAGACCGGATACAAAATGTAGACTAGGTACAAAATGTAGACTGCAGAGTGGGTACAAAATGCAGACTGAGAATCTAAAGAGTTTTTTCGTCTGGTATGTGATAACATGTCATCTTACAACTTACCGAGCGTCACGCGATCAGTTTTCACGATTATTTTCACTAATTTGGAATATTTTTTAGTCCGTTTCTTGATCAAAATCGATCTTAATATAATTTCAAGCCTTCATATAGCCTTCTCACTTTGCGTGCGAGTTGGTTGGTGTGATGTCTGTACAGATTTTACCAACGTAATAAAAGTAGATGTATATGTAAATATGATGTCATTATTGAATATTTAACACGCACAATATTCGACATCTTTGCACGTGGTCCGTATTATCATCTTTTTAAGCGGTATGTGTTTATTTTGTTGAGACCAAAACTGTTCCTTCGACTTTATATATTTTCGACGTTAGTAAATCACATCATATTAATTTACCTCCGTAAATCATTCATTCCAGACTGAAAAAAATCAAATAAACATGCCAACGATGGTATCTGAATTCGTCCATGGCCAAACACAAACGACTCCACAAGATCACTTTCTCCAGGCATCGAAAACATACACAAAATCGTCCATAGTTAATTTTAACCAGACATTCATCCAGAGATAGCACCGAGCAAACCAATCCAGAAAAATATAATCGACACTCTCAACAAATCACAAATCTTGCAACACAGCTTGCCGTTAAAGAACTGCTCAAATCAATATGTTTGGTGCAATTCATCAACACCCCAAGCAATATTTGCTTCAAAATTTTCCACTCACTTTCGTCGTGAAGGAAAATTAACCATGATCGTGCTACAGTGCACAGAACTCCATTTTCTCTTGAACAACTATCCACCATTTTCACAGCATGAGTAACACCTTTACTATAGGTAATCTGTTATCTTTCATCTGTGCAGTAGGATCGCATTTCTCATAAAGCGCGGTAAAATATACGTTAAAAACACAAAAGCCAATATTTCTCATTTTGAAAGATGATTCCATTTTACGAACCCCTCTCTCCGAATCCCCCATTACTTCGTTGAAATTTGAACACCTCTCACCCCAAAGAACAAAAACGACGCTCTGATTGGTGTGAGATACATACCCTAATTGGGTGATCTGATTGGTGCGAGATACATTCCCGAAACGATCTGATCGGTGCGAACAACATGCCACTCTCTATACGCTGACATAGATGTCATTAAAAAATAATAATAATAATAATAATAACTCAAAAACTATCGGAGTACTTCGATGTAAATGACGTTGTGGTCATGAGATTCTTAAAGAAAACACAATAAAACCGCAAACGATAGCACAAAATATCTTATTTATTTTGTTCAAAATCTAGGTTCTCTTAAAAGCAGTCAGTAGCACAAATGTATATTTGACAACCCCAAAGCAAGCTGTCTGAAAAGCGTACAGTCACATGATTCCATAGCATTAGAAAAAATCCAATTAAAGGCCTGAATATTCGGCCTCGGTTTGAAACGGGCTCAGATCCTAGCAAGCCTTAGGCTGCCTCGTGCCAGTTTCTAGCGATTTAAATTTTCACTGCGATGCTGGATCTGTAGAAATGAAACAAATGATTTTTAAGATTGACTCTTTTCTTTACGACAAACGGTTAAAATTTTTCAATTTTTACGCCTTACGGATAAATTTACAGCTTACTGTTAACTTTATTCAGACCTTCTCAACTGTGCGATTACCTCAGGTTGAGTGCAGAATCTCTCACAATCCGTAGTTTGGTAAAGATTTTTCCTTAAATGTCTGTAATCAACCAGACTGGTTCAGCGGCAAATAAGTGAGTGGTTATAGAAAGATTCCTGGTCGTAGTGTCATTGCAGTTTCGGTGGAATGTTCCTTTACTAAGGCGCAGCGCGAAAACAGAATAAACTTTGGACACAGCTTTATTTAAACAATCACAGAATAAACCGAAGTATTTCCTCTTACTGCGTATTTTACCTTCAGTCTTTTGATTGGTCAGCGGTAGCCAGCCGCGACTCCACCCTTGCGATAATCTGCTAGTGCTAGTAGCTCTCCGTCATCCTTTCGTACAACAAGTTGAACCACGCCCATGATCTGTAATGGCGTTCCTGAAAGAGAAACAGAACTAACGCTTCACTTAAATCGTAACTTTGAGCTGAACGTTCCCACTAACGGAACTGTCCGACCAACTAGTTCCATTGAATTGAAAGTGGACTTAGATTACTAAAAGTTGGGAAAAACGGTGGCATAATGGTTAGGAGGATAGACTCCGGATCCAGAGTACAGACTTTACCTCAAAATTCTTAATGAAACCATAATCACCTGTGAATAAGGTTGTATCATTTGTGATTCGCTTGTGTCCATACCGCTTTAATCCTTTGATGTACTTTTCTGGAAAATTTGGTTCAACTAAGATAATGCTTGGGAATAATTGACTGTGAAGACGTGGCTTGGATACAGCATCCTTTAAACTGTCGCCAAACCAGAAGTAGTTCATAAGTACCTAAGGAGATAAAGGATATGCGCATACAAGAAGGCGCTAAAAAGGTTTCTTTGCATGCCCCGCGATTGTTCGGGCGAGGTATGTTTCCGTATTTTCCCTCTTTAATTGTCTCCTCGAGGCACATTTTTCGCAGGCGCACGAAGATGAAGAAATGGTGCGGAAATTTTTTGTGCTCCTGTCCCTGGTCGGTCTGAGGTAAAAGTCTTAAGCTTGGCTGTTTTACTATGTCTTAACAAGATAGCAGCACCTCGCATCTTTTCTCAAATCGGGCCATACTTTGAGGTTGGCTTTTACTATAGAATAAAGGATAAGCTCAATTGCGAGGCCATTTTATTCATGCGCACGACTTCTCTGTTAGCTCACATATTAAGGAAAGGTGACTCCCCCCTTGAGTATTGTGACCTCGCCTCTAAGTGAACATCCTAGAGGAAAATACATTCTGGACGAGCATCAACAATTACTGACCTGTGATAACGCAGTTGCGATGTATTTTCCTCCAGCGGCTCCGATAACCATCCTAACATTCCCTTTCCCATCTAGAATGATGGACGGAGAAGCAAGAGACATCGGTCTTTTACGAGGTCTCAGAGAGTCCGCTTTCAAATTGAATTCGTTAACATACAAGTTTATAGCATCCCACAACTGATCATTGTAAATGATTCCGAGTTCCAAGCTGCGCAGTTTTGCTCCGAAACTGTAGAAGAACCAAATAGTGTTTCCTAAATTAGATGTTCATAGAGTTACTCAAAAAAAGTATGCTTTAGTGTTATAATGATAATGGCGAGGACGATAATAATAATGGTGGCAAGAAGAGCAAAAGAGGTGGTGATAATTATGATAATAAATCGATGATGATTATGATAAAGATGCTAAAAAAGGTGGTCACCATTACTATAATAATATAATTATTCGTACTGATGATTACGGTGTTGCTTATTACTCTCCGTTTTTCTAAAAGGAATCTAGTTATCTAATGGTAGGATTCAGTGTTCTCGGCACATTAATTTTTGTGGCTCACTTTAAAAGGCTACTCAAGACGCCATTGTGAAACTGAAAAGGTTATCCGACTGTTTCTATAATCAATTATATTCTGCTCACTATTTATTAATTGATGTCGTTATGGAAACAGCATTTCCTTCTTCATCCAGTACAGACAAGTGAGTTGTACCATCTGTCACGTCAATATGATAGTTAATAGGTCCATAATAATCATATGAGTGGGTCGTGTCATCTATTTTTTGCCGTAGTTTTTCTCCTTCTTCAGGATCCAGCATTTGGCGAACGATCTGTCAAAGAAGATGAGTACAGGATCGTAATATCGAAGACATTCCAGTTCTGGGAAGATAGTAAGCGAGTGAACTCTAAAACATCGTCCAATCACACAAGTTAATAAAAAAAAACATAATTGCCGCTAGATTTAAGGCTTGCAAGGGTTACCTCGTCTACTTTATCGTCGAATGCAGGATCTGTGAGATACGTTTCCCTTGCGGCTACAAAATTGAATGCTTCAATCATTCGGTGATATGTCCGGACGGGATGTTTTTTCATGTCTTCTGGTCCAAAATTGTAACCTTTTTAAACGAGAAAATATTAAACTAGCCACATTACTGTCGAAATCTTCGAGGGAGCTTTTCAGCTTGGTATAACGATCAATTCTTACATATTGCATACTCTTTACATATTCTGTGGTATTGAAAATGAGAACTTGACTGACAATCTAAAGCTTCTAAAGTTGGTGATCATTATTTTCTTCGTCGTCATGACCTTTACATTTGATTCAAGGGTGACACTGTAAGGAGAAACTAGGAGCTAGTCAATTATAGGAGCTAGGGGGGTTAAGAACCACTTTTTCAGGCAGACGGAAAGAATTTAATTTCTACTCTTTGCTTTGCACCGTTTCGGGAAACAATTTGAAAATTGAGCATTTGTTTCTTGTTAGTTCGATTCAAGGCTGAGAAGAGAGAAAGAGTAATCACATCCTTTCAAATCCGTCATTTGTGTTTGTTGTAAAAGTATGCAGTCACAGCAGTTTTATATGTTCCTATATGCAAAGGTGATCTACATAGTCTTTCAGACCATATTTTTCTATGATAGAAAAAGGAGATCTTAGTTGAATCTTATTTCGTAGCAGAGTCGAAATGGTCTGAGTTGACTCACCCTTCAAAATGTTCAGGATGTCAATTAAGGCTACTCCCCCTGCAGGAGGTGGGACGGTCAGAATTTTGTATCCCTTCACTCCGG